TATATATATATATATATATATATATATATATATATATATTGAAAAAAGTTACCTCTATGAGTACATATTGCTGCTCCACATGCTGCGCATGATAGCAAATCACTCCAACCAGCCATGCAACGAGACACTTTCTGCACGCAAGAAAATAAACACTTCACAAAACAACAACAATACTCGACAACGGGGGCCAAAAGAATGCTTTCTCACTCTTTCCGAACAAGCAAACTCACTGCTGAAGTAAAAAAACTTCAGGCACTGAATTTTCCTGTCACAGAAGTAGTGGAACTAAAAATGAGAAAAGCGTTAATTTTGGCCCTGTGTATGTACAAAAATTGAGCGACTTTTGTCAGCATGTAATCTTTCCAACAAATTCTTATTCAGTTCAAATTCTTTTTCTAGTGATGATAAATAGCTGCTGCAAACCTTGCTAACTATTTTACCTGGAACATTTCTACAGAGAAGTAGACATTGGCTCTAATTTCTCTCAGGGAAATGTTGCAGTTTTTTTTTCTTAAATTCAGCAATACTTCGGCAACCAAACTGCACATGGAAGCATTGCTGCTGTCTGGATGCATGCTGTGTGACCGACAGCCATGCCAACAACAAGCACTAGCAGCTTCACGACAAGCTTCCTACATTGTTTATGTGCGTTTCCGATCACACATATTTTGTGGGATTTTTTCGGGCCTAACGAGCATGCTAACGAGCATGATAACGACGCGACGCGGGCTTACAGGTCGACGTGCGGCTGCCGATCATGCCTAGACACCCGTGCTATAAGCTGCACCTGCGAGGCCTAACGAGTGTGCTAACGGGCGTGCTAACGGGCGTGCTAACGAGCGAGCTAATTAGGCGACGCAAGCTTACAGGTCGACGTGTGGCTGCCGCTTGACGTCCGGCACGAGCAGCTCGAGGGCGCACAGAGACAGCAGAGCATCCGCGATGCTCGGACACTGGCACAGGTGGCCCGTGTAGCTGAGCAGCTGGACGCGCGAGCGCAGCGCGGACGCCTTCGCTGCAACAGGCTGCGAGAGATGCTGCAGCAGCTGTGAGAGGTAGTCCGTGAGGTCGGCCGGCTCCAACACCGCCACCTCCTCCACTGCAAGGTAAGTACACGACCACCCGAGTGCGTAAGGTAAGTTTTCATCCGAGACAAAAATCAGAGTAAGAAAGGGTGGGAAGAATATCTGCTTGAAAATGTTTTCTGATTTTAAAATAAAAAAAACTTAAATCCATTTAAAATTCCAAATCGAAATCGTGGGAATGAATTGCACTGAAAGAGATTGAGAAGATCATTAAAAATTGTTGCAAACAATTAATAATTAGAATTAAATTACGTGCGATAAATTATCATTTTTAAATCGGTCAACTTTTACAGTTAGTAGTAATAGTCAGTACAGTCAGTAGCTAAGCTGTTCAATGACATGTCTTTCACATTAAATCAATGTTTAGGGTGAACATACGTGAATAAACTTGAAGAGGCAAAGTCTTAGCATCCCACTTAGTCGTTATCTTCCTCTTGAAGACCTTTGGGTTGTCAATGATGGGAGTTCTGGTGAGATCAGAAATGTGGTAGGCAATCTTAGCGGCCTTCCAAGCCACGCACTTCTTCACTGGTGTCACCTGTAGGAGAAGGAAAACCTACTAAAGGAGACATAACACGACAAGTACGCATCATGTTCCACTTGCCATCGCTGCTTCACCCGTCCTGGCATGTTGCTCCCATCGCATGGCCCAGCCTACATCTAAATATATAAAATTATAATTATAAAAATTTTTTTCAATATTATTTTTATATTATATATATTATATTATACTAGCAATTTGCGGACCGTGAATCACGGGCCTCTAGCATTTCCCCAGGCATCATCAAAACATGATCGCAATATCCAAGAAGTAAATAAAAAAGTATAATATCTTGTAAGATAAAACAGACAGTTAATAAAAACAGAGTAGTGTACTTCGATTCACATTTCCCCTGCTTACCTCTTCGGTGTGATCCGCTGATCTACGCACAACGACCGTCCTCCCCATCTCTGCCTTCCGCTCTGCTGCCTTCAGCACCTTCTCTGGGAAACCCAACCCGGACAGCGATGTCGTCGAGTTAAAAGGTCGCGAACTCAAGCTGATCGACATCTGCAGCGGGTCATTCTGAGAACGGGGAGAGAGAACCGCACGCGTGAGAACGGGGAGAGAGAACCGCACGCGTGAGAACGTGGAGAGAGAACCGCACGCGTGAGAACGTGGAGAGAGAACCGCACGCGTGAGAACGTGGAGAGAGAACCGCACGCGGGAGAACGTGGAGAGAGAACGACACGCGTGAGAACGG